TTCTTACAGCCCACAAGATGTTTGTGTAGATCAGCTTCTCCACCTTCTGACTCCTGAGTTTCATGATCACCTGGAGAACAAGGAAATAAACTTGATCCAATGTTTACAACACAATGTACAGTATTGAGTCTATCAAGAGATATCTATAAATAGATCAAGTCTAACTCATGTGTTGATCTCTATAATGTATACACTAAATATAAACTCAAAAGTTACCAATTAGTGGACCTTCAACCTCATCTGACTGGACTTTGGACTGGTCACTGGTGAAAGGATGAGGATCTGAAAGGATGAAAGTCAAAAAACTATTTTATATATTCTTTTATTTTTTATTATTATTAGAAAATAGACTTATACAAAAACCTTTCTCTATCTAAACATTAACAAATCAAAAGTTTACCTGTATCTTGATTCTCATCCCCAAGACTGGAGGAGTCTGCTAGGTCAGTCTGATCCTTTAGACAAACTGAAATAGTTTAAATGCATGTGTCAGTCATTCTAATTTTTTACAGAAATATTTTTTTTAAAGAACAAGAATACTTTTTGAAATACTGCATTTTTTTCATAGAGAAGATACTAAAGATTTAATATATAGCTCTAGAAGTTGAACAAAGACCTAACTTTGCAACAACTGAATTTGACATGTTGACTATTATTGTGCTGAATTCTAGTGAAAAATTTGATAATAAAATAAAACCCAATAAAATGTTTTAATTTTAGGTATTGTTTCACTCTGATTTCATACCATTTAGTCCACAGGTGTCTTGAAGAAAACTTGGGTCTCTACGGTTCTGGAAATTAGAGCAAAATATGTACATAAAGTTGATTTAATTTTTTTTCTTTATATATTAACAAATTTACATCAATGAAATATTCTCAGAAAAATCTACTTTTTGTATTTTTTTTGCTTGTACAGTAAAATTAAAGAAATATTTTGTTGTTTAATAAATTGCTTCAACTAAGATTAATTGCATTTTTTTTTTTGCATTTAGAATGTAATACATGTGAAATGCTTTATAATGAAATGTAAAAAATAAAAATTCATCAGGCTTTGGTAGTCTAGTTTTCAATTTAGAGCTCGAATTGACTTTAAAACTACTTTTGGAGTACTAGATCTACATTCTAAATCTAAATGACAAATTCCTTAAGATAGAAAACAAAATAATAAAAATGAAAATTAGCAATAAAAGAAAAAAAAAAGTCAAATAACAAAAAATGTCAAGAAACCACAAATAACAAAAAATACATTAATCTAGGATTTCTTATGTTTATTAATTTGAATAAGGATAATAGTATCCTTATTACAAAAATGGGGTATTTTTTATCTAGATCTGGCAGCCTGGTAGTGTGATATGCAATAATAGTTGTCTCTCCATAGTCTTGGGTTTGAATCCTGCCCGCTCCATCCCTAGTCATCTTGTATGAATTTTTGCAATTAGAAAAAAAAGTCTGTAACTATATCTACATATTAAAGTGTACATTTTAGATCCTATCTAGTTGATTTCAATTATTTTTTTAAACGAAGATATTTACAATTTTAGAATTAGTCTATAGATCTTGTAGGAATACTTTGTGTTTATCTTTTAGATTTTATATAGATGCATTAACTTTATTTAAATCTAAGTAGGCTATATCTAATCTCTAAAGATGGATATATCAATAGACTAGATGTAGAATGAATTAAATTTTTTATAAATCTAGACTAGAAGCTAATGTGAATTTAGATGTAGATATATATTTTCTACATTACCTAAGAACTTATTAGTTTTGGTAGTTTATATAGATCTACACCAGAGTCGAACTTTTAGATATAATTTACCGTTGTAGCTTAAGTTATTTAAATAGTACATATGTTAATTTAAAAAAAAAGATAATTATGTTCTATGCATTTCAAGTGTCAAACTAGACATGCATGGTAATCATTGACTTAAACTTCTGATAAGTCTTTGGTTTTTCAGGCTAATTTGGGCAACCCATTCAATCTTTACTGGCACTAGGGAAGGGGCACTTGTAGTTGGTCGTTGTGCTGGTCACAAGACACCCTCGTTAACTGTAGGCCACAGAAAAAGATGACCTTAACATAGTCTGCACTACATATCTTAAATGCAGGGTCTGAAAGGAATACTTTTTACAAGATATACAAGTCTCTTAACACTAGATAGATCTATTTATAGGCTTATACTGATTATGGATCTAGTAGCATATTATCTGAACCTATATCTATCATAAGATCATCTATAAATTGATTAGACAGGAGACATCTAACTGATCTAGATCTATTCTAGAATAGATCTATTAATTATAGCAAATTTGATCTATTACGTAATAGATTTTTAAATCGAAGTCTAATTTAATTTTGATATAGATCTAAATTTATATGGTTACAATATTTACAACTAAATCTAGACATAGATCTATAAACGTAAGGTTAATTAAGTCTAATCTAATTCTAGATCTAGACTCTACACAAGCTAATCTAGAAAGGAAAGAATAATGGATTCATCTGCTGCAGTAATCGTTAGTCGTAATCGAAACATTTATTTACGCTTATAATTAAAATCTCTATAACAATATGGACGAATATAATAGTCATTTGACAAAGAGTTTAAATCTAGGTTTTGTTAAGATTTTAAAAGATATAAATATATGATTATGTGTTACTGATAGACTATATTTTACAAACACCATTAAATTGTATAGATATAATAGATCTATCAAGACTGCTAGTTTAAGATTCTAATAATTTAATTAAATTTCAATTCAAAAGTAATCGCACTCAAGTAAAACCAGATTTTTATGCACTTTAAAATTGCAATTTTAATTCTACATTGTTATTGTCTTTATTGGTATCATTATTCTCATTATATTAGAAACGGAGGAATTATCATTCTCAGGCACTTCCATGGACGGTCTATCTTCGTTAAAGAAAAACAAAATTCATTTATGATTGTATAAATGACAATTAATATTTAATTTTTCCTTAAATTCCTACCTGGCATATCAAGGTTGAGCGTGAAGTGAAGAAAAAAGTATGAGATGAAAAAAGAACAGTTTTGTTTACATGTTTGATATTTTACTTCCTAGTTAAAACCTCACGCATGACGACGGGAGAGGGTAGCGGGTGTCATTCTCTAATGGATTGCTTCTTTGCTAGGTGTGTATATTTTGTGATTTTTTTTTTTACTATAATGGTGCGCTGTTTCTAAGGACGCGCTCTGTTGGCGTCATTGCTTCTTTTTATTTTGCTTGGGTATCAGATTTTTGCTTAAATATATAAAAAGAGAAGCCTAAATAAGAAAACACTTTTTAATTAGTTTAAACATATACACACTTACTTTTTCTGTTTTGAGTTTTTTCGATACGATTCTATCAGTTTGAGTTTTTCTCTTGCAGGACATCTTTGACGAGTTCTAAAAATAAATAAAAATTGGTTCAAAGAAATGTTTTCACCACATAGACAAGGGCAGAACTGAAACGTATTGTTACAAATGAACAGTGACAAGTAGAGGTCAACGTGTGACCCCAGCGAGATGACACTGCAGCCAGTGTTCTCTGGAATCTACGCGTATAAACAAGGACAGGATGTGACGTGTCCTCACGTGTTGTTCCAGGGGATAAATAGATCCAAGAAGGGGGCAGTTACTAATGAACAGTGGCAGATAGAGGTCAGTGCGTGTGACCCCGGCTTGATGACACTGCAGCAGGTGTTCTCTGGAATCTACATGTATAAACAAAGACAGGATGTGACGTTTCCTCACGTGTTATTCCAGAAGATACAAGCAGTGTTTGTGCAACTTTGGAGGAGCGATTAGGGACTCTATATAAGCCAGAGAGTTAATGTGAAAATCAGTCTTGAGTGAGTCATCGGTACTGTTGTCTATTGTGCGAGACAGTAGATGCAAGTTAACTAGGGTAGAGTTAACTGGAGTGGACTACTGTCGTTCAAGTTTATACAGCGAACTACAGTGGACTTGAGCCGTTACAGTCGATGTAAGACGTGTGCGGCTCTGATTCGGTAGACTTGAGTACGACTTGGTTCAGCTTTGGGAGACCTGGAGCGACACTGGAAAGTGTGTCGTTGGTCTGTTCTGTGGAATACGGCTCGATGCAAGTTGAGAAGATATGAATTGCAACGAAGTGAAGAGATGAATTGCAACGAAGTATAGATAACTGTAAACTGAGAGATACTGTACAGTGTTCTACGTTACATGTTACAGTAACAACTTGTTAGAGTTAATAGTCATTAAAGTTATATGAAACTGAAAGTTGGGTCGTCAAGTTCTTTGCAGTGTTTTTATTTGTGTGCCTACTTATACATTTAGCCAGATAATTCAGAAATACGTAACATTATTTTCCCCTTTGCTACCCAAATAGGCTTTTTTATCTTCCAATTCAGGAAATTATGTACAAAATATGAGTACTTTGTAGACCTTATTGCAACTCACGTTTTACTTTTTTTTCTTGTTCACAGGATAGTATTTTTTAAGTTTATTTCTGGATATTTCGCGGCGGAATTCGACTAACTAAATTGGCAAACGACGAAAGAATCTATCAAACTTTGGTGTCTATTTATAATTTAGAAGCAATATTTGGAATTTCCGATTTCTTATTAAATCTATATTTAGCAAGAAAATCCATTAGTCATATAGTCACAAAAATATGTGTAGACACTATATTAAATATCACTATCTGATACGTTTAGTTTTTCCTTTACCACATGATTGGCGCTATACATCGAATTATAAACTCACATATGCAGATACAAACATATACGTGCAATTATAACCACACACATGCCCACCTTGTAAATTAAAAGTTATCTACCTTGTCTGTGTCAGAAGTCAAGGCGGCTGAGCGGTTAAGTGCTTGTTTCCGTGCCTTGGATCCTGGGTTCGAATCTCAATGAAGACTGGAATTTTGAATTTCAAAACTCCAATGGGTACGGGTCGTTATGCTGGCCACAAGACTCCCTGCTCGTTAACCGTTGGCTTAAGAAACAGATGGCCTTTTAAACATCATCTGCACTTTAGATTTTGTTATCGTAAAAAAAATAAAGATTTGCCAAGTTTTAGATCTAAATCTATACAACATCAATACAAACCTAAATTCGTTCTACGATTCACAATTCTACTATTCTGTATGAAGAGAAACCTTATATAAATAAAAGAATACAATGAAGAAATGACTTTGAATTAGAATGACTTACTTATAAAATCTCTGCGTTTTTACTGACGACTTCTTGAATTCTATTTATAGAAACACGGACATTGAATAAAAAGTAATTCAAGAAATTTCCGATTTTTTTCTGTTTAATCCAACAAAATTTCCCCCCCAACTGTGTAACGCCCCTTAGTGTTTACATTGATATCTTCTTGTTGATGTTCCGTGAAGAACATTGACTGTGACTGTGTTACTAATATTTCTAATAAAGAGTGGGAGACAGATTTTATGTTTTTCTTGGCTACCTTTGCAGTTTGTTGTTGCACATGAGATTTAAGTGCATGTTAAATCTTTTTAAAGAAGCTTTCAGATTTTTCCAGGCAAGCAAGTGAAAACAGATTTAGTCATTTTCCATTGCTATTTCTACTAAAATGGTTAAAAGAACAAGGCGTATTTAGATTCCTTACTATCGGAATTTTTTAAAAGCAAATTTTAAGGTGTCAAGAACCAGTTTTCAATATCATCAGCTCATTATTTTGTACAGAAGCTAATTAAAGTCTAGAGAAAATAACTCCAAGTAGCCTAAATTATAAGCTGAAAGGGAAGTGTGAAAAAAAAAGAAAATTGAAAGTACAAACATGAGTTGAAAGTTATAAGAAATTGTACAATTAGATTGCGTATTTTTTTTTTTAAATTATATTTTCAATATCAATTTATATTTTCAATATTCTCAATATTTTTTTAATGTGGCGCTCGATACGAAAAGGTTGCCTTACCCTGCATTAGATGATAACTATTTGTTCAAGGGAAGGTAATTCAACAAACACATACACATTTGATGCAGAGGCGTAGTGAGCGATCGGCGCAAGAAAGTTTAATGGCGCCCCCCCAACCCATTTCCCATGACTATCACATATAAATATAGGATTATAAATACAAAGTGTTTCATGATAATAAAAAACAAACACCATGGAAATGTATTACCAAACTGATATATCTACAATAATTTTATGTTTTGGCGCATCTCTGAGTGTGGCTGCCTCCCCCCCCCCCCCGTAGGTGACGCCACGGGCATAGTGCCCCTCTTTCCACTCACCCCTCAATATGACTCTTATTTGATGATTATTAGCTCTATATTCAAGAGGAAGTGATCCAACACACACACGTCCTAGGAGAACCATTATTGAACCGAAAAAACTAGATGAAGTATTTGGTAGACTCTATATTAAGAAAGCAAACATACATAACAAAAGCCATGACAGAAGAAAAACGACAAATCTGAAATGACTACTTTTTTCACACAGGCACTAGCAACATAAACATGCTTAAACTGTAGTATATAGTTTCATCCAATAGTCTTCACTATAGTCACATACAACATATCTATTGGGATCTAGTTGCTGAATTAGAGAAGTATTAAATAGTCTTCACTATAGTCACATACAACATATCTATAGGGATCTAGTTGCTGAATTAAAGAAGTCTGGTCCGTATAGACTACAATAATGTAAAAGAAACATAAATATGGAATTAATTAATACTATTTTTTTTATTTCCACGGTTTCTTTATTTTAATCTAGTGGAGTTAGTTTTTTTTTAATTATCTTTTTATAGTGCGCATATCAACTAAGACTGCTAGATCACATGATTGTGCGTGCTAGACGTGTAGCAGAGTCAAGTTCAAGAACACACAGTTAACCAGTGTAGGGGCTATGGCGTGTCTAGGGTGGGGGAGGAGGGAAATAATTTGAAGATCCCCCCGGGCCCCCACCTGAGGGGGGCACCCAAATGAGTGTTCGAAATTCGTTTTTAAATAAATTAAATATTTCGTCACTGTCATGTAATCTTGATTTTTAGGCAATTTTATAAGTCAGTGACCCTGTTGTATGTATTCCACACAGATATTTAACACTTTCCGAGCAAGATTACTCTCAAATTCATTAAATAATTTCAATAGCGCTGACTGTTACTCTCAGGATAGCTGCCTGGTCGTGCGGTTTGCGCGCTGGAATGTCGTTCGGATTTATTGATGGTCCCGGGTTTTAACCCTGCTCGCTCCTATGTATCGTCGTCCTACGGGAGGTTTGGACTAGAAAGTAAACTATCCTCAACTCTGAAGGAACATCCTAATCATGTAAAACATTTGTAAAAAATGTTTACAAGTAACTTGGTATATAGGCTAGTTTATTTCATCATCCTTATCAGTTAAGAAGAAGTCTGATAAGTGCACTGAAAACAAAGGAGACCATGAACGTGTCGAAGAAAAGTATCACCATTTAGACGATTCATAGAAATATACAGCAGTCGAAGAAGTGAAAATGTCTCTGTATTAGAGAAGTAGTGCTTAAGAGAACCGATAGAATGGACACTAGAAGCAGTGCACAGAATCTTCTTCATGCAGTGGAAAATTATGATTTTTTTGCTTATCTTGAATTCTGGTCAAATCTCTGCGCCCAATTAATTTAGTTCAGAAGAAACTATAAAAAAAAAACCTGAACTGCACAAAGGTAAGCTGCTGAAGAAATTAAAACTCTTTCATGCTTTCTGCGAAATGATGAGAAACGGACGAAACTGATCACCCAATTGATTAAAAAAAAAAGCAAAAGAATGTATTGATTGCTATGGATTTCCTGTAATCAAAATAACCAGAAGAAAGAAAAGACTTGATGGGGAGTTGAGTTCTGATGTAGGACTGTCAATAGAACTGCAATGCAAACATGTTGCGAAAGAAATGCTGCACAGACTTCATATGGAGATGAAGGACATATTGCATAGGCTGGAAATCCATATGGACACCTTTGGGTTTCTTTTTGAACCAAGACACCTCTTTGAGTCTATGGATGATAACACGCAGGTTAAAAACTCTGTTAGTTTTTCTTGTCTGTATGATGAAATACAGGCAAATCGCTTGCTTAATGATGCACGAGCACTTTTCCACAGAAAACCAGTGCCATAATCACCAACTAAAATATAGAGGAAGCTTGCTCTGTAAGGGTAATTAATTGTGCTCAAACCTTGCAAACTCCATCCGAATATTGCTAACCCAGGCCACTTCCTTTGCGTCAAATGAGAGATCATTCTCAAAGCTCAAGTTAATCAAACACTATCTCAGAAGCACAATAACGCAAGAAAGGCTTAGCATGGCTTTAATGTCAGTGAAGTCACAAATGATCGACTGAATCGATGTAGATGATGTTATAGATGCCTTTGCTGCATAAAGCACTACGCGAAGTGATGTGAATTGAGATTTGTCACTTGTGCATTATTTCGCCAATAAACAACGGTATTATTCATTAAAACATTATTAATACTGATTTTTGTGTTAATTTTACTGATATACTGTACCAATTTGAATGTAAGCTTACATAGTTGTTAAGTACATTATCTCATGTCAGTTTTTCGAATGTGCAATGGACCCCTAAAGAGGTCAATCCTCCGGGCACCCAAACACCTAGCTACGCCACTGGATCTACTGGTTTAGACTACATATGTTAGAACAATCATTGTTCCTTCCTTAAGAGGAAATGTCGACCCCGCATGCTAATTAGTCGTACTTGTAGTTTGGTGATGATGAATCGTCCATTAAGTACGCTCCTGCTACTGGCGCTAGGTTTATATGGGTTTAACGTATTTGTTGATTTAGGTAAATATACGGGACTGTTTGTAATTGCGAATTTCTTTCGGCCTTAATTTTTAAATGTTAAAACCACGAAATGGCGCTAAACAAAAACATATTTAATTACACGACTGATCCAAACTTATTGATACCATTACATTTCCTATAACCTTTGTGGTTAGGTTTTTCTTGTTTTTTTTTTTTTTTGTTTAGGTGTTCAACTTCACCCAAACATTACCAAGTTTTTTGTTCTTTGACTTTTGGTGAAACAGCAGAAGATGTCCAGAGAAACTGGTTCAGACGTATCTCTTTACAACTAAGTATAAACTCTTTAACGTTCTTTTCTAAAATAAACGTTTGTAATACATTTGTAATACATTAGTAATACATTTGTAATACATTTGTAATACATTTGTAATAAATGTGTAATACATTTGTATTACATTTGTATTAAATTAGTAATACATTTTAATACATTTGTAATACATTTGTATTAAATTTGTAATACATGTGTCCTACATGTGTAATACATTTGTAAAACATTTTTAATACATTTGTGATACATTTGTATTAAATTTGTAATACATTTGTAATACATTTGTAATCATGATTAATGTAATAAAAATGAATTTGTAATTTTTTATTTTTTTTTTGTATTTTCAGAGGAGCGGTGGATGAGTGGTAAAGCGCTAGGCTGCCGAACAGGGGGTACCGGATTTGAATCCTTGTTAAAACTGGGATTGTTTCTTTCGGGGTCTTTACAGTTCACCCAGCTCTAATGGGTACTTGACATTAGTTTGGGAAAAGTAAAGGCAGTTGATTGTTATGCTGGCTAAGTAAAACCCTCGTTAACCTAGGGCTACAGAAACAGATGACCTTTAATTTATCTGCCTGTAGATCACAAGGTTAAACTTTACTTTACTTATATTCTTTTTTTGAAGTAGTGTAGGCTGCCTTGTCGTGCGGTATGCGCTCGGTACTTCTACATTGTCGTTCGACGGTCTTGATAGTCCCGGATTCAAAAGATGTCAGTGGCGTAGTTAAGGGGGGTGGAAGGGATTAAATTTAAAATCTTCTCAGGTCCCCAAATTAGTTTAAGTATTACGCCATTATCTTATTTCATGACGTCGAGTATCAAAATACTTGGGCCCCTAAGGAGATCAAGCCCCCGGCCCCTAAATCCCTAGCTACGCCACCGAAAGATGTAATTATTTTTATATCTGGAGGAACTTTCGAAACATGCTAAACATTTTAAAGTCTCCTCTGAAGTAAAAGCTAGCACAACGCTGTTGGAAGGCAAAAGAATAGCACGATAGTAAAGCTGGTCTGATGGCTCAACGACAATACAATAGAATTATTTCCTGAAGTAGATTCTTATTGGCATGCAACTAAATGTACAAACAACCGACTTGCTACTGTCATAAAATGGAACCTATTCTACGCTTTGAAAATTTG